TGTGGGTAATGTTGTAGGGGGGAAAAAAAAAGGGGGTTTTTTTTTTTTTTTTTTTTTTTTTTTTTTAGTAACCTCAGCAATTGATCTTGAACAGAAAGACACAATTTTCATTCTGGCGCACAGAAGACACTTCTCTTTAGGATATTTTCCTTTGGACTCCAAGGCACCAGCCTCTTTCTCTGTGGAGTATACGTCAAAACAAACTTTTTACAGACTTTGCCCACAAGAAGAACCTGAATCTACCATGGCAGCCGTTTTTACTTGTTTAATGAGCTAAAGACATTACATGATGAAAGAGAGACTAGTCAAAGCTCCTTCATTTTTATTCACCAAATCCGGACTGGGGAAAAGAATTAAAAGAGAGAAGAAGGAATTTAAAAAAAATAAATAAAATAATAAAAAAAAAGAGCGGAAAAAAAGGAGAACTGGTTGAAAAATGAAAATATACTTTAAGATTAGAACATTACCACGAAGCAAACCTGCATGCTTTCTCAAAATGCAATGGGCTGTGGCTCCGAAGAAACCACCATCTCTCCTGCGAAGAGCCCCCTCACCCGCACCCGCACACACCCGCACACAGCCGGACAGACACCCGGAGACGAGCAGGAAAGACAGAGCGAGAGATCCACGGCAGGACCCGCCGCCGCGGTCTGGGGAAGGAAGGTTCAGCGCTGCCTGTCGGCAGCCTCAGCCCCGGAGCGAGAGGGACCTTTCCCCCGAGCAACCTTTCTGTATATATTGTTGAATTTTAGTTGTACATATACTTTGTATGTTTTTGTCTTCTTTCATATATAGAGTAAAAGCCACAAAACACCCGCCTGGCTCCTATTTCTCTCCACCTTAGCCGATTCCCACCTCCTCCCGACCTTCCGCCCCCCGCGTTCGGCCCGGGCAGCTGGACGCGGCTCCCCCGGCTGCCTGCGCGCACGGACACCACTACCTGAACAGACATCTGCCAACAAAGACAGAAAAGATGGGGTTGGGAGGAGGGGAGGTGTAGTTGGTGGTTTGGTTAGTCTTAAGCCTACGACTAAGACAGGAGATACCGAGACCGCAAAGATAAGCCTGGAAGAAGTTTCTAGTTCGCCCGGCTATTTCTGCTGCGATTTCATTGCTTCGGAGCTCAGCTGAGCTGAGCTTTCTCGCCGAGGCAAATCTCAGAGCCCTGCCTTTCTTCCCAAAGGTCGGAGACTGCAAATTATTAAGAAAGGAGGCGCCCTCCTTTGTTTTTAAAGAGCAGACAGTGCAAGCTGAGGAATGTTTTGCAAAGCCCTGAGAGGTGCCCAGGCACACAACACGCTGTCCAGCCAGCTCCAGCCTCACCAGCTTGTGGAAAACACAGCAGCTACTGACAATGAAAAGCCCTTTCCTCATCCAAGCTGGGTGCCCCATACTGCGAGAATTAATGGCTAGAGACCTGGACATCCTTCAAATTATGAACCTTGAAACCACTGAGCCATTTATCAGAAGTCAATAGAGATCCTCAGAGTGCTCCATATAATGACAGCTACATACAGTCGTGCAAAAGGACAGTCACTATAATTAGACACAAAGCAAAGACTACTTACCAATATATCAGTTTTTTGGGGGGTGTTTTTTTGTTTTGTTTTGGTTTTTTTTTTGAGCAACTTCCACGCTCAGTCAGTCTTCAGAGTGGTTTAAAACCGATCAGTCTTGTCATTTTCTACCATTCGTATTGTTACATTAGGAAAAATGTTTTCTTTTCTTTTTTCCCCTTCCCACTGTGAAACTTTGGGTTCAGAGCTCCCCAGGATCAATTCTGAACAAAGCCTCCAGCTGCAGTGCCATCCAATTTGAAGCAGACATTGGGGACAATTTAAGGTTTTTATCCACAAGAAGGTTTTTTTCCATTCTCTTAAATGCAGCCATAATTAGAGTAATTTTTCATGTAGCCCGCTGATTACAGCGTTTTTACCGTCAAAGATAATTACCTGTAATTTTCTTCCACTTTTAATACTAAAAAGCCATCTTTATTTAGATTCAGGAACAGGAAAGGCGAAACAAAAGAGGAAAATTATTCTGTTATTCATACACAAATTGCAGAGATGTAGGGCCTAAAATTGAAAATTAACCAAAATTATAATGCTGAAAAGAATGGAAGAGGCTTCAGAAGTACAGCTGGTAGTGGGGCTCACTGAATTATTCAAATGACAGTGGAGGGAAAGCTATCATACATTTAAACCAACAGCACTGGGGGGGTATGTGTGTGCATCCTTCAGAAAACCCTGCTGTCCACTCCCCACGCTGGCTCCCCTGCAGGCTCCCCCTCGCCCCCACAAAAGGCTGGTGGGTGCCCAGGTGAGC